ATGAATGGCACCTGAATACGCAGTTCCGCGATTTTTCATTTTAGCAGAGTGTTTTGAAATTGCAAGCAGAATCACACCTAAGCTGTTTTTGCGTTTTGCAGACACGCAGTACAGTCCATTTAACATCATTTCCTATGGGACATGTTCACATCTCCGCGTTTTCACCCGGTGAGTTTTTTGGAAAGGGTCAGGAACTTTTTTGAACGTAACAAAAAGGTTCTTGAATTGCTTGCAATTTGAAACACCCACGTGTGAAAGCAGCCTAAGCATTTTTTGCATTTTGCAGTACAGTCCATTTAACATGACTTCCTATGGGACAGGTTCACATCTCTGCGTTTTCACCCAGTGCATTTTTTGGAAAGGGTCAGGGACTTTTTTGAACGCAAAAAGTTGTTTTTTTGGTTCTATAGACGTCAATGGAAATGCTGCAGAAAAGCATGGTTTGCATTTCTTCTGCGTTTTTGCTGCATTTTTGATGCCTTTTAAATCTGCCTAGCAACAAGAAAAATAAAAAATAAAGCGTGAAACATATCAAAAACGCAGGGGCAAAAACGCAATGCAGAAACGGCTCAAACGCAACTTGTATAGGTGTGAACCTAGCCTTAGACTTGCAGTTGAGGGGGCCTTAAAGCTGCTCTTCAGCCCCATGCAGTTTTAAGCATGACATGTTAGGTATCTAGTTACTCGGTGTAACACCCTCTGTTTGGGTATGTTTGTGTGTACTAAAACGCATTCAATTGTATTTTTTCCTGAAAATTTGCATTTGATATGCCACTGCGCATATATTGTGCAACATGAAACATTGCAACAGCAACCATTTTATTCTCCATGGCCTCTGTTTAAACAATATATACTGTTTGGCGGTTCAGAATAACTTTCTAGCAAGAAAACAATGCAGAATTTTTCATGTATGAGAGAAATGTCAGAATGGACCTGGAGGGTCAGTGAGTAATAATATCTGACTAACATCAATAATACAGAGACCAGCCCTGACAAAGACAATATTTGGAGGAAATCTTCAACAAACAGGAAATCACGGTGTGGAGATGGAATGGGGATGTTGCTGTATGGGGGAGTGGGCGGGTCAGTGACTTGGCTGGGCACGCCCTTCTGCTATTATCCTCCATTTACATGGCGGAGTGGGCGTGTCGTGTAGATGTCAGCTACTATAAGGCTCCGCAGATCGGTCGGGGGAACCATCAGTGAGTCCGTGACATCTGATTCTCAGGGGACCCGGGGCCGGTGCTGCATCCCTGATACTACGGTAATGTTGGGGCTCAGCGCCTCTCTGTGTGATGGGGGGCGGGGGGTGCTGTGCCACGCTGGCATCTGTCCCATCCATATCCTGTATACAAGGCTGCTGAATTCTTCCTTTCATTAACCCTTCCTCTGCCTGAGTGCTGACCATGTGCCAGGGAGAGAAAGAGAGGGATGGAGCTTCAGGGATCATTGATTGGGATTTGTATGGACTCAGCAAAACTGCTCTGAGATCCCCAGCCAGGAGCTCCCCTCCTCCATGGTGCATTGTGTGGAGGGATCTGCTGGGCACACACAAAAAATAATTTAAAAAAAAAAAAAAAATTCTATCCATTGATTGATTTAAAGCCAGACGATTTACATTTGCACTTTTCTTTGTCCTGTGTTGTGATCTTTGTCTCTGAATTTTGAAGACTTGTCCGGCAATACAAAGCCTGATCTAAGATCCTTGGTGGATTACTGAGGGTGGATCTCCATGAAAGTCTGATTTCTGTGTTTGGTAGAGCCCTTTTGTCTCCATGTACAACATTCCCTCTAATGTGCAGTTGTTAAATTGGGGCTTTTATATAACTTTAGGCAGTAGTCTAGATTTTGTAGTTTACCCTTTTTTTTTTTTTTTTTTTTTTTTTTTTTTGGTTTCGTTTTTCATGTAAAAAAAAAATTGATATGTTACTGTGCAAAACATTTTTTTTTCTTCAGAAGGCCATACATTATACATCAAAATATTGTCTAATTTGTTTCCAAGAAACAGACCTGCATAGACAAATAGTTTCTCAAAACACCAACCAGAAACCGTATAACAACTGTTCAGTTAGTATGCTGTGTGGATTTATTTTATTTTTTGGCCGTTTTAACTTTAAAGTGTGTGTGTGTAATTTCTGATATGGTGGGACATTTATCTCATTTTATTTTTTTTATATATTTATGTAACTGAGACATGGAGTTACATGAGGATCTGAATTGGTGACGATATATACACCTTTTATCTGATGAAGGGTTTGTACCGCAGAGCTAGCATTCTATGTAGTTGGGCTTCTTGGTGAAGGCTAAACACAATGGCGTTGTTTATCAAGTCCAGTTAGTTGGATCCGTCTGGGCTGCAAGTGGTTAACTTCCCCTCCTCCATCACCCCCCCCCCCCCCATGTATGTATCAGTAGGGGACTGCTTATGGCTCTGTCCAGCAGTAAACGTGAATAACCAGTTGGTTCCAGTTTCTGCTGTTCTACCCAGGGTGGAAAGTCTGATTCTGCTCCAGGAGATTAGCTCTGCAAAGACTTGTGATAGGCAGTCTGCTGATTTTGTGGTCTCTTTAGATTTTGTGGTCTCTGTAGAAGATAATTGGTTATATCGAGTTTGTCCCATTATCTGGAAGCTATTTGGCACATTCTGTAGCGTTGCTTCATCCCCTGGGACAGTCTGAACTTTGTCTTACTTTACTTCTTCTGCAAGAACTTTTTATTCTACTAGGATTGTTTAACCCATTGCAGATTATATCAAGGATTGGTTAGATTTTAATAGTAAGGCCATACACAAGTCATTTTAGTCTTCTTTCATCCATCCTGCTGGTTGAACAAAAGAAAAAATACACTTTTTCTTTTTTTCACCTATCTGCACACAGTCCATAGGCTGACTTGTGTACAATCAGCCTTCCCATACATGGATTAAAATTCAGTTAGTCCATGCTGACCCGGCTGAATTTTGATCCATGTATGGTTCAATGTTTGCCTATCATGGCATTGCTTGATATTATTTGTTACAAGTCCTCCTCCTTCCCTTTTCTTTCTTTCTAATACAGTTCAGGAATCCTTCTGCAGTTGGTTCAAGAAGTTTTAGGAGCAGACTAGTCCTAGACATGAGATAGTTGATAGACTACAGTGACTTCTACCAGTTCTGAAGCGTGTTCCTCTGCATTGGGCATTGAGGTTTATCAAGGAGGCCCAGTATTCACCACCCTGTAACATTTTTGGCGACGATATGACTGTTCTTCAGCAGACCATTGCCTGAGACATTTCTGGCATGCTGGCAAACCAAGTGCCTCAGGTTTTACTTCACAGTATAGGATTCAGTATGTATAGATTTAACCTGTACAATGCAGCTTAAAAATGCCAATAAATCGAATGTGAGATTTCCTCAGGGAAAGGAAAGATCCTTTAACTGCACATGTGCCAATCTGTGCTCCTGCTGGCACCAATGTGGTCTGCATGTTTGTGGCTCCCTGAGCTGAAGTCGTTCATCTCTTCCGAGGCTGGAATTTCCACGATGTTGGAGATCTGCTGTACAATAACTGCTTCTGTCATCAGGAAATTCCCTACCTAGGCATTAGTTAAATAGGTATTGGGTTGGCAAATGTTTGTTTTTCTTAGAAGCTCCATAATCTGCAGGTCTGAACATTTTTAGTAGGAAGTCTGAAGGCTCATGTTGTGTATGTGGGTTGTTACAGGATTAACTGTAACAGGAGTCTATGTACTAAGCTCTGTTTGTCAAGACCCAGGAAGATACATATAAGTCAATAAGGCGTACTTTAACCTGTTAAGTTACCTGCCTGAAAAAAGTGTGTGTTTTTTTTTTTTTTTTTTTTTTTTTCACCCATACAGTCAAGTTTGCCTTTTTGAATATTCAAATATTTTATTTATTTCAGGTACTTGTATAGCGCTATCAATTTACACAGCACTTTACATATATATTGTACATTCACATCAGTCCCTAACCCTCAAGGGGTGTACAATCTAAGGTCCCTAACTCACATTCATACATACACATACTAGGGCCAATTTAGACAGGATCCAATTAACCTCGCAGCATGTCTTTTGGAGAGTGGGAGGAAACTGGAGTACTTGGAAGAAACCCACGCAGGCACAGGGGGAACATGCAAACTCCAGGCAGGTGGTGCCGTGGTTGTGCTGGTCAGGGGATCTGTTAAGTTGTGGAATGCTTTTTATGACTTCCGTAGATCCTTAGAGGTGAGAATTGCTTCTACCCTATTATCCTATTTGAGGAAAATGGGAGAATCTCTTCAATGAACACCATGCACAACCTTAAAAAGCTTTTACAGCCACATACTTGTCACTTTTCTTAGGCTTTTCCACAATCCTAACATGTTAATACAAGTGCAACAAGTCCTGAGTTGAATTTCCAAATATAATTACTAGCCTACAAGTCTCTGAGTAAACAACTTTCCTTTTTAACTTCCCTACTGAGCCAGATCTGCCACCATTTGTGTTTCACATGCTGCCCCTCCCAGACCCTGCAGATCAGTGGGAGGGTTTCCTTTGCAGAGATGGCGCTGCCAATTCAGAAAGTGGTGGGAAAGACGAATTGTGGCTTGTTGATTCACAAGCCTCTATCTTGTCATTGACCATGCAGGAACAGCCTACAAGAGTGGTAACTCTGTTCTTAATTTAGGAGCAGTGCAGCATTGTTGTCACCCCATCAAAGGAAGTTGATTTTAAGTGGGATTCATTGGCAGGATCAACAGATATTTGTGGGGAGACTAAGAAAACTGTTAAGTACAGATGCACTTAGAAATGCTGTAGCACATGCATTTTTAGTGAGTAGCTATGACTTGAAAATGTTGGATTGTTGTCATCCAGGTTAGTAGTTGGCAGCATATTGTGGTACTGCTGGACTAACAACACAAGTAGACTGTTGCTGGCTTGCAGTTTTCTAAGATTGTCAGGAAACTTCTGTTTCCTCCACTAACCTTTTTTTTCCTTCTGTTTCTTCTAGATCAGCATTCACCACCATGTCTGTTTCACACAGTTCCAGGCTCAACAAGGGGGTGAGGGATCAGTATATGAAGCTGCCCCAAGGGGGCATGGTCCAGGTGACCTACGTATGGATTGATGGCACTGGAGAAGGGGTCCGCTGCAAGACAAAGACCCTGGACCATGAACCCAAGTCTGTTGAAGGTAAGATGGCAGCCCTTCCCCCAACTGTTACAGCCTGCTGGTGTGCTTTGTCTTCCCACTTGTAGCTGGACATCTGGATGCATTCTGAAGGTGAAATTCCAAAGGAGTGTTGGCACATTTGTGCATTCCATTGCATGCTGAGATTACTTAGAACACTTTTTTACTTTTAACACACTGCAATATCTAGCTGTATGGCATATTGTAGCTGAGTGGACAAAGGCAAAATCATATCCGTTATTTTAAGCGTTTTTAATTCAGTTCAGAGTGACTTATTCAGTTTGATTTCTCCTGCTAGGATTTTAAAAGGTGGTGCTAAATTTCCAAGAAATTGTACAATGTGACCTGAGACCCCAGGCATGCTATGATTTAGTACAGCATCTGCTCTGTGCTGACATGCCATAAATAACTCTGGATGGCAGAGCTGATCCTGCGGGCACACTATCATTGCTGCCCACATTGAGCTAGGATGCAGCTTGTAAGTCATACGTCCAGCACAGTTGGGAGATATTCATTCCTATGCTGTTTTAATGTATGTTGCTCATTGTATTGCTGTGGGTGTTTCATGACTATTGCCATCTATTCCACCTGAAATAGTATGTGGTCCTTGGTGAGAAGAGGAGCTGCTGTGTTGCAGATGCCTCATGATGGTTCATTTGGGGGGTGTTGGGGTACTCCATATGAGCTGAGAACCCAAACTAGACTGTCAAGGGAAAACCTGTTCCTTTTTCTAAGTATAGCATGTAGATAGTCCACCCAAATATATTTCAGGTAATTGGTGACTGGTAGCCTATAGGCTTCTTTGTTGGACTCCAATAGTCCAGTTCACAAAAAAAAAATGCAAAAAGTGTTCTAGAATTACTCTGCAGCTGGAGGATGAAGTCTCTAAAGTAGAGTATGAGTATGCAGAGCCAGAAATGGATCTCTTCCAGATATTTCAAGAAACTGTATAGTTTGCATCCATGGAAACCTCCACTTTACACAGGTTGACTCTTTGCAGAAAATTATTGGCACTCTTGAATAGGTCCATTTAATATCTTGTTCAGCCCTTTGAAATAACAGATTGTGTAGCAAGAGGGAGTGTGACTACCCAGGAAAACTTATTAATGTGCCTCAAAGGTTATCAGTGGTAAATTTTAATATTGTCCTCCGTCATGTGATAACCTTTATCCCTCCTAACTCCTTTCTTCTGTTCTCCCATTAGAGGTCCCAGAATGGAACTTTGATGGCTCAAGCACATACCAAGCCGAGGGCTCCAACAGCGACATGTACCTCGTCCCTGTTCAGATGTTCAGAGACCCCTTCTGCCTGGATCCCAACAAGCTGGTCATGTGTGAGGTCCTAAAATACAACCGAAAACCAGCAGGTACAGTACTGGCATAGCAGAATTATTGAATCTGTGAACATGGGACATTTTAAACTGACCACTGGTGGCTCTGTAATTGGAAGTATTGCTTAGATGGCAGTTTCTGCATTCCTATGTGGTGATAACAAGCATTTGTAGTCAGGGGGCACTCAGCAGAGAAGTGTCTGCTTTTCTTAACGTTTCTCTGCAAGAGATCCACTCACTAGAACATTGTTGAGCAATTGTGTTTTATAGGCTAAGTAGTGGAAATGGTGAATTATTGAATGCCATCTACCAAAAAAACTTTTGTTTTGGCCAGGTGTTTGGTAGGCTCCACACACAGCAAAAGCACCTTCTAAAACTGAGCTGGCTTTGAGGTGTCCAACTTGACATTCTCCAGTAATTCTCACAACATGATTACATGACGTTTATAAATGGTCACTCATCATTGACCAGTATTAAAGATTTTTATAGGTTTAGCAACAAGTATACACAAGGGAAAACCTTTTTGTTTTGGAAGGTGATGGATTAGAACACCTGTCAGTGTTAAATGTTTGCTTATAGTTCTGCTTTTAAGGTCTTGCTATACTGGAGTTTTGGTGTGAGGGGCTAACGAGATACTTTTCTGTAAAGTGCTAACTGGGGTAGATGTTGACTTTTTTAGAAGAGGTTTTAAAGGGAGCTTCCATCATACAGCAAACTCCCTCCCCTTTTTTTTTTTTTTTTTTTTTTTTTTTTTTTTTCTTTTTTTTTTTTTTTTTTACCCTCCAGCAGATTGCTCCTGAATCCTAAAGTGACAGCATACATGTATTGTATTTGGTCTTGAATCAAAGGAAAAAAAACTCTGCTGTGCAGCTTGTTGGAAAGGTGTGCCCTTCCACATCGTGTGTATGCTGTAGAGATGCAGTCTCAGACCTCGCCCTTGTTCCATGTACACAACGTTTACTTTGGCAGATCTGCTGATGGAACTTTATTGACTTTAAGTTGTTTCTCCTTCCAGAAACCAACCTGCGTCACACATGTCGGCGGATCATGGAGAAGGTGACTGATCACTACCCATGGTTTGGAATGGAACAAGAGTACACGCTTCTTGGTATTAATGGACATCCATATGGCTGGCCTGAAAATGGCTTCCCAGGACCGCAAGGTAAGATTTTTACCATTGGTTTTATTAGAACCCCACCCACAAATGCCAGAATACTCAGTCTCCTCTTTAGATTCTAAACAAGGCACCAAGAGGTCTCCATGTACCAGAATTTCTTTTAAGATGCCCCAGGGTCCTCGTCTACTTCCAGCATCCAAGTGCATCCCTCCTTTCCCATAATGCCATAAAGTCCTCTGCTGCAGGGGGTGTCTGAGTGTGTGGTTTTACAGTGGCATTGTAGTGTAAAACTTGGGGTGGTTTATTTTTTTGGCTAATTCTATATTTCTGACAGTTTAATGTTACACTAATATTTAGGGTGTAACATGAAATATTGTGCCGCTCCTCAGCCCTCTACCCTCAGATGTCCCCCCTAATTCCTAAATAACAGGGTGCTGCTCCCAATTGTTCTAGCAGCCATTCTCTTGTGTAGGTTCAAGGTTTGGATAGAAAGGAAACAATATTGTGAAAAGCCAGATGAGGAGGGGAAGAATATTTGGTACCCAATATCCTGGGAGATCATAGGACTTGGGAGTGTTGAGTGTTAACAGAAGTGCCATCTGGCTCTCCTGTGCAGCTTATGTGACTAATTCATGGTGTTTAATCACCCTCCTGTCCTCATTAGCAGCTGATGGGGCTCTTAGCTGTGTAAATGCTGGGGGTGTCATTTTATGTTGTGGAGTCCACATTGTACATGTGACAATCTGATGTTAAGGATTGTAGACTACTGAGGTGTCCCAAGTAATTAAAATAAATCCTAGGTGTCCGCTATAGGTAGGTTCTTTTAAATTGCTCTAGGATTATAACTCTTCTGTTCTAATGCACCTACAAAGTCTAATTGGGAGATTAATCCAGTGTAAGGTCTTATTTTGATCCCCAAAATTAGAAAGTTTAGTGTTTTTGGAGATTGCATTCAAACGCCTAATTTTGTTTTATAACCTATGGCCTTTGGTGTCCCTCCAGGTCCCTATTACTGTGGAGTTGGTGCAGACAAAGTCTATGGGCGGGACATTGTGGAAAGCCACTACAAAGCCTGCTTGTATGCTGGCATCAAAATCTGTGGCACAAATGCTGAAGTTATGCCATCACAGGTAAGAACCAATAAATGGGCCAACCTAAAATCCTACCACAATCTGTGTGGGCCCATTTACACTAACTTTCATGCATGTCAATACAATTTTTAAACTCTGCTTTGCCCAAGACAAAGGGATAGGACTATGTTTCCATGTGATATGCAGACTGTTCATAGTTGTCTTCTATATTTTTCTGTAGTGGGAGTTTCAAGTTGGACCCTGTGAAGGGATTGATATGGGTGACCACCTTTGGATGGCTCGCTTCATTCTACACAGAGTATGTGAGGACTTTGGTGTCGTGGCAACTCTAGACCCAAAACCCATGACTGGCAACTGGAATGGGGCTGGATGTCACACAAACTACAGCACGGAAGACATGAGGAAAGAAGGAGGACTGAAGTGAGTCTCCTAGGCAACTTTTTGGGGCTGGAAGTGTCCAGCAGTGTTTCTAAAAACCTGTAAAATATTGGCTGCTGGAAAAACATGGTTTAACTATTGTCTTTTATCTCTGCTTGGTCACCACAATTGGGGGTGGGGAGGAATAATCCCAAAATATAATTGGGGATTTTATGCAGTAAACCTGTGGGCTTTAGTTTCTGGAAATGCTGGCTTTCTGACTTTCATGCTGATACTTTGGCTTCATTACATTGAGGTGGTATGTAGAAAATAATTCAGTTTCTATTTGCTACAAGCTTGCTTTTAGTCAGTTCTCACAGCCAGTGAACTAGCCTTTTCAGGAGAAGGCCAGCAATGGCAGCCAAGAGGTTACATTCCTGTTATATACTTCAAATTGACCTTGGCCTATTTATTTATAATTGTATATTCAAATTAAGTAATAAAAATTCTACTTACCTGCTCTCTGCAGTGGTGGTTTTTGCACAGAGCAGCCCAGACCCTCTTCTCGGGTCACCCACAGGCTCTCCTGGCCCCTCCCTTCTGTCAGGTGCCCCAACAGCAAGCAGCTGGCTATGGGGGCACCTGCTGCTCCATGTCCATTCACACCCAGAGCTGTGACTTGGCCCTGCCCCCTCTTCCCACTGACTGTGATAACAGTGGGAGCCAATGGCTTCAGCTTCTGTCTCCTCCAATGAGGAGAGTGAGTCCTGGGCTAGCTGAGACTCCAGTGCACATCACTGAATCGAGGGGGGGCTTAGGTGGGGCTGGGGGGGGAAAACTGCACAAGGTATATGTTTGTGTGTGTTGGGGTGTTTTGTTTTTTGTTTTTTTTTTTTTTTTTAACTAAATGACAAGCCCTTGTTGTCAATGACCAATTATATCTGTGTAATGGTGTGAAATTGAGCTTATACAATGGCCTATTTTACACACAAGTTTGATTCAATATATTCTTATTGTCCCACCAGACACATTGAAGAGGCCATTGAGAAGCTAGGAAAGCGTCACAACTACCACATCTGTGTCTACGACCCACGAGGTGGCAAGGACAACTCTCGGCGCTTGACAGGGCAGCATGAAACCTCCAGCATCCATGAATTCTCAGCTGGCGTGGCAAACCGTGGTGCCAGTATTCGTATCCCACGCCAGGTTGGACAGGAAGGCTTTGGCTACTTTGAAGACCGCCGCCCAGCAGCCAACTGTGACCCCTATGCTGTTACAGAAGCCTTGGCCAGGACAACCATTTTGAATGAAACAGGCAGTGAAACTAAAGACTACTGGAAGAATTAAAATTGGGGGCTGGACCCACCCAGTAGATTCCATCCATCTTGCATCTTCCATCTCAGTCTTTAGTGGGTTGATCAGCTCAGCTGCAGGCTCACAGCTAAGTTGTCTCTTGCAGAAAGAAGATTCCTTCTATGTTTCCAGGGTGTCTGTACTGCCCACTCTTGTTGTTTTTCCCAAACAATTATCTGACATGGCCAACTTCATTAGAAAAAGCAGATTAAATTTTTTTTTTTTTTTTTTTTTTTTTTTTTAGTCTGAAGGAAAGGCTGCAACTGTGTCCAGAGACAAGTTAGCTGAGAGTGAAAGTGAGGCTGGCTGGAAAACATGCGTCATTCTTTTAATTTGTTCTTTACTGATCTTTTATGTACAGTTTCTTCCAACTTGGAAGGTAGAGGGCATTGATTATATAGACTGAAAGCCAGCGGGATGGCTTATTTGCAGAATTCTAATGACTTGGGAAGTGACTAAATAACTGCACTCCTTTTTTAAAAAAAAAAAAATATATATAAATCCGGTTTTTAATGTGTGACCTACAAGGACCATCAACCTGCTGGGCAGTGGGGGGTTGTGTTTTTTGTTTTTGAAGATCCCATGATACCTCATCCTGCTTGTGGGATGTTTTTTTTAGGCTCCAGTAAAGTCATATTGGAGTCTGAACTAAAAGTTCCTCAGAAGAGGGTTTTATTGTGAACTGTGTATCAACATGTGACTGTTCTTGGGTTTTCAAGACTTGAATAAAGCAGGGGAAAAAAAATATATACTGCCTGTGTTTTATTAATGAGTGGACATAAATCTAATCTAAGCAGCAACTTGGAAGATGTGCCAACTCTTTGCTGGATGTTGGTGATTATTTTCTAGTGCTGGTAGATAGGTTCTGTAATTGATCACTTATCTTATTTTTTTTGATTTCTGTAACTTGTTTCAACCTGTGATGGCTGCATTTTGATTACTTTTCTCTCCACCTAGGACTTTGTAGCTGCATAGTTTGCAAATACATATAATGTAACACCTTGTTTATACTCTAGTATTGTAGGACCATTAGACTGAAAGTTGTAAATGACTTACTGAATTTAGAACTGGTCCTCTTGAAGGCCATGCAAAGCTGAAAAGTGTGTGTTACAATGGACTGCGTGCAGTCATCACTGCATTTATCTTTGACGAAGAACAAAAAGTTTGTCTGCCATGGTGACAGATGGGTCTTGCACATTCATTAACAGATCTCTGAATGCAATTCAGCCACAAAGTGGTAGGCCATGTAAAATGTGCTGAAGCACACACTGCATAGAAGTCACCAACTGTCTGCAGAGTCAATAGCTAAAGACCTCCAAACTTCATGTGGCCTTCAGATTAGCACAACAGTGCATAGAGAGCTTCATGGAATGGGTTTCCATGACCGAGCAGCTGCATTAAATCACCAAGTGCAATGCAAAGCGTCAGATGCAGTCCGCTTACAATCGCTCTTGCCTGGAAATCCAATGACTGTGTCTGGGTTTGGTGGTTGCCAGGAGAATGGTACTTGCCTGATGGCATTATGCCAAGTGTAGTTTTTTTTTTTTTTTTTTTTTTTTTTTTGTGTGTGTTGAATTGGGACAGACTGAGCCAGACATTCTCTGCCGACATTGATGCCTGACACAAATGTGCTTCTGGAAGAATGGTCAAACATTCCCATAGACACACTCCTAAACCTTGTGGACAGCCTTCCCAGAAGAGTTGAAGCTGTTATAGCTTCAAAGGGTGGGCCAACTCAATATTGAACCCTTAAGACTAAGATGTCATTAAAGTTCATGTGCGTGTAAAGGCAGGCATCCCAATACTTTGTATTAATATTCACAATCTCTGTTCTCAGTTGCATAGGCCTAGATAGCTGGGGATGGAAAGACTGCTGATCTTCCCAGTAAATGGCTGTGCATGGGGTGAGTCAGCACAAGACTGATCATTGGAGGACAAGCAAGCTGTTCTCCCAGCACAGCTAGAAAACAGGCCATGCTGGGATTGATGTGCTCCCTTTCCTAGCATGGTCAGTTTGAAATGAGAAAGCAAGGGGTTTAGTAGGAACAGCAGGGGTTTCACACAAAGGAAGCAACACAAATGAACAGGATATCTTTCACAAGTACATGGTACAGCGGGCACATATCAGGAATATGACCTGTTGAGGGTAACATTCTTAAAATTCAATACAAAAACTAGAATCGAAGATTCCTTCATCCACACTGTAAGGCAGCCCATAGAATTTCCCCTAATACAGTATTGATGGGGGAATCCCTCCCACATCGCTATTGTGTTCTGCCAGCAGGGCCAAGGGGGAAGCCTATTACAGGTACTTTTATAGTACCAACAAGTTACACAGAGAGATATAAATATATTATATGGGAACGTGGTTCTGGCACTGAATGTATGTAATGGCAAGGTATGGGGGATCTATTTCCAATGAGGGGATTTATTTTTGCATGGCGGTCTATTGTTGCAAGGAGCCTGATTGTCACTGGAAGGGAACTACGGTTGAGGGGTCTATTGTATTGATGATGGCTGCTAGGAGATCTATTGTTTGCTGCTGGGGCTCTATTGTGGCAGGGAGAATCTATTGTTGCTGGCTGCAGGGCATCTGTTTTACTTTCCTTTAACAAAATCCATACATATTGCTTAGCACCACAAAATGATACTTGAATCTATATTCTCTAAAAGGGACGGTTCTTTGAGGTGGGTAGGGGGTGGAACCAAAGGATGTTGCTTGGGGAGATGGAGACAAGAGGTGACTCAGAAGGGGGGAGTTCCTAATATCTGAGGGGGATAAAAGGTAGGTGTGTGTATTATGTATTCTACACACTGCACAAAAAAAATTAGAGCAACACTTTTTAATCGGTATAGCATCAAGTCAAACTCCTGGGATATTGATCTGGTCAGTTAAATAGCAGAGAGGGTTGTTAATCAGTTTTCAGTGGCTTTGGTGTTAAGGAAATTTAACAGGTGCACTAGATGGGCAACAATGAGATGACCCCCAGGCAGGAATGGTTTTACAGGTGAAGGCCACTAACTTTTTTTTTTTTTTATCCCTACTCCTTTTCTGGCTTTTTTTTGTTTTTTTTTTTTTCACTAGTTTTGCATTTGTTTAGGTTCATTGTCTCCACGGGTTTGCTGTGTCTCCCAGGAAACGTCTCAAGAACATGGAGGAGATTCCAGGAGACAGGCAGTTACTCTAGGAGAGCTGGAAAGGGCTGTAGAAGGTCCTTAACCCATCAGCAGGACTGATATCTGCTCCTTTGTGCAAGGAGGAACAGGATGAGCACTGCCAGAGCCCTACAAAATGACCTCCAGCAGGCCACTGGTGTGAATGTCTCTGCCCAAACAATCAGAAGCAGACTTCATGAGGGTCCGATGTCCTCTAGTGGGTCTTGTGCTCACTGTCTGACATAAAGCTCGATTGGCATTTGCCATTGAACACCAGAATTGGCAGGACTGCCACTGGCGCCCTGTGCTTTTCACAGATGAGAGCAGGTTCACCCTGAGCACATGAAAGGGTCTGGAGAATCCATTACTGTTATGCTGCCTGTAACATCATTCACCATGACTGTTTTGGTGGCGGGTCAGTGATGGTCTGGGGAGGCATATCCATTGAGGGAAGCACAGACCTCTACAGGCTAGACCAGCAATGGGCAAACTACGGCCCGGCGGACCTTTTAATCTGGCCCGCGGAGCTAGGCTCCTCTCACAGTCCGCCGTGTAGCA